GCCAGAAGTTCTTTCTCTCCTACCGTGTAATGGACTTCGGAGAAAATTATTGAATGAGGGAAACATGCGACTGGGTTTAGTTTGATAGTAGCATTTATATCGAGATAAGCTAATAATAAAGCGGCAAATACGACCTTGTCGAATACACCATTTTCCAGAAAGATTTCAAGAGAGGGATCAAATTGATGGAGCTTTATCTCCGAAGTAAAAACTATATTGAAGTTGTCGAATTCAGATTGGAATTCTATCGTTCATCTGAATTGGACATAGTTACGATAACGAGCGAAAACTGTGCTGAAAAAGCTGGTAATTTGTGAGAAATCGCCTTTGTAAATTTGTAAAAAGCAAGAGTGATTGAATTACACGAAAATTTTGAAGTTTCAATCACTGATATATTAGACTTTGAGGAATCCGTAAAAATCTCAGAATGCAAGACTACAAATCCAAGGAAATTAGTTGATTGAATACTAGCCTTATATTTTTCGGATTTATATAATAGGTCATATGGTTGGAGTTTTCCAATAAATCTTTTCTATCGCTCATCATGCCGATGTGGGTCTTCAGAATATATCAAATTCTTTTGGTACATCAGGTACAAACTATTTGCAAGTTATGTCTACATTTAATAGTCTGAAAGGTATGAATTTGTATTAAAATAGCCCATAGCTTATGTAAAAGGCTGCTTTTGATTTACCGCCTGGTTTGATCTATATTTGGCTCTAAGCTCGTCTCAAGTCTTGACGTGTAAATTTTCCAGCAATGAGAAACTGATGCAGAGAACCGTCTATCTGAGGTAGTGGGTTATGGTTATTTCGGTGAGTGCTCGGTTGTCGACTTAAAAACGAAGACCATCCTCTGGTTTCTAGATAAATAAGATAGGGGATGCAAAAGAAATTCTTGATGGCCCAGTAATCTGTTTTTCTTAATTATCAGGTAGATGTTCTCTTAGAGATTGGATTTCACTGTCTATCAAAAAGTATAATAGGCTTGAATTTAGTTTTGGACCTAAATTAATCGAAAATCTATGATTGATAGATCGAGGCAGTTCCTCCGTTCTTTGGGTGGAATATGGGTACGAATTCATAAAATTAAGCAGTAATTTTTTGGCATAAGTCTATATGCTCCTCTCATCTTAATTCTGGGGTCTTATCTACATAGTCAGAGACATCTTTGATAAAAATTGCAGATATGTTATGATTACTGCGCTTGCAATGGCTGACCAAGGCTGAAATAGAGACTGAAGAGATATCTGTTATTGGAAGAGAATTAGCTAGATGATATGAGTCTGCGAGGAAAATAATAGATAAGGAGGAATCAGGTGTAAAAGGAATCGCGAAAGGATTGGGAGGGAGAACATGAATAAGAATTCAGTAGAGCTAAATGTGATGAGGGAGAAAAAGAGCAAGTTGGCGAGTTGAGTGGCCTTGATGGTATTTTCAGGGAGTATCTTTTATGGGATTAAGTAGGAAATGATATCATTTGGGCACTTCATTGAACCGCGGGATCATATTTTGAGAGCTTAGGCTTTCCTAGAATTACATTTTAGCGGGCGATTTGAGTGACTTGAAATGTTATCGTCTCGGAATGGTCACCAATTTTAAACCGAGGAAATTTGATGAATAATTGATCCAGAAGAAGATTAATGACCCTTGACATTCCGAACAGTCTCAGTATCAGATTTGCGTTGTAGTTTAAGTTTATTTTTCCTGGTGAATTCTTCATTTATGAAATATGAGGCGCCAGAGTCTACCTAAGTAATGGAATTTAATTGTATAAATTTACCAAAAATAGGAAACAATTAAGTTTTGTGTTAGAAAACCTAAGAGGGCCTCCCTAGAATGGAGTAATATAATTTTCACAAACAAATGTAAAAGAATATATGATTTTGGAGAATAAAATACCTGTTGAAGGTCAAATGTCATTTAGAATGCATAATTAGATATAAGTGACATAGTTTTAGAGCTGCATACACCATAAAAAGTATTTGTCCCAAGAACATCAGTTTTTTCATAGTGTATTCAGCTATCTAGCTATGACACATTATTTTCATAATTTATATCCCCCAAACTCCTTCTTTATATAAATTTTACCCAATTGCTTGTTAATTTTCAATTGTTGTTTCCTATTTTAATATCTTTTGTGTGCTACCATGCACTTGGATGTGTCTAAATATTTGAGAAGAGCTTCCTTTCCTATCTTTGTTCGAAATAATATTGGAAGTGTTCTTGGCTCTATGCCCTAAAAATATCGGGTTTTTTGGTCTCTGAATTTGGGACAATATAACAACAGGTATTGCACATCCTGCCTTTCTTTCCTACAAAAATTGCATATTTTATCTTCAAATTTTCCTATCATTTGCAGATAGACCCGTGTATTTCCGATTCCAAACCTTGCCTGGAAGAATCATGACTCTGTCTCCGTGCTATTTCCTTGAAATTTGAAAGGTTTGAAAGATATACTTGGTTGATTGGTTTAGGCCTGGATCCAACAGTACTTGCCAAGTCCCTTAGCTTTTCTACCCTTATCCTCGTGCCAAAGTTCCAGATTCCAGTTATTATTCCATGCCTCCAGTATCAGTTCTTTTGCTTTTAGTTTAATAAATGAATGAGTCGTAAACTCATCCTTTTTCATTGCTGGTCTTTTACTCCCATTTCTGGCTAGTTTATCAGCTAGCTTATTACCTTCTATTCCAACATGTGCAGGACACCATTGAAGATCTATAGCGGTACCTTGAGATGCCATCCTGATCTGGTAGGAAAATTGGTTAGTGTTGTGTTGAACTCGAAGGATGCTAGCCTGGTTGTCAGTGAATAAATGCAAGGTCTTGTAAGCGAATGGCCTCTTCACATACTGTATTGCTCTCAAAATGCAGTAAGTCTCGGTATCTATGATACCCATAGTATCACCTAGGTGATGTGAGAAATATTTCATCTCTCTTGTGTTTGGCAGGTATAGCACAAAGCCAATGCTGCTCCTTGTCTCTTTTGAAAGGGATCCATCGGTGTATACAATGACATCATCGAGGCGAGAATATCCATTTACCTACACCCTAGGGCTGTGGTTGTATCCTCAAGTGGGTTTAAGCGCTATTTTCGGGAAAGTCTGACCCAAAGATGATTAACGAGCTTGTGTCAAGAGCCTGGATGAAAAGAAAGTCGCACAATTCCAGAACATTTTATGTCTCAATTTCCAATGGTGCAGGTTGTACTGAATTCCGTAGGTGATAACCAAGCCAAACCAACACTCACCACGGGTATTATGGCAGAGATATAGGGTGACAAAAACTCATGACCTGTCAGTGATGTCCCCTATGAACCTTTAGCTTTCACTGTAGAATCTGTAGAGCCGAGATAGAGTAGCACCTTCGTCCACACGTTGATGAGGATTCTCAAACGCTTTCGCAGCGTGTATCCTCTTCAACTCTCAGCACAACCCCCATAGCAGCATTATCATGAAGCTAACCACAATCCGATCAGATGATAGGCTCGAGGCCCTACTCATTATTTACTATAATTCTTCTTGGGGAATAAGCCATCCGCTGAGTTTCAGGAGCGTACGCAGCACCCAACACGGTAATGATGGATTGGATCAGGTTGGACTCTATGGTTATAAAGAAAGGAGATATAGATGAAGATGCATACCTCGCCTGCCTGGGGCTGCAGGCTTATTTAGACCTTTTCCTGCCTACGCAATTTCCATTGCTACCATTTTTATTCTTGTAGGTAGAAAGTTGCACGGTAAAGAGGCTAAATTCTACGGGTAAACACTGAGCCAAACAACTATCCATAAGGGGCAATGTTTTAATGATCATTCAAGTAACAAAAGAGAATAGGAACACCGTTCAAGGTGAGGCCTGGGTCAGGAAAGAGCCTGAAGTACTAGATTAGTCACAGGCTTAAGTAGCACAATAAAGCCAAACCAACACGGTCATAAATGGACAAGATAGTGATACATTGGCCCGGCTAGTCTATCACGTACAGTCTGGGTAGCTTGGGCAGCAAGTCCAATTGAGGTAAAATTTGCTAGTTCGAATTCAGTGACACTACACCATATTTCTCGGATGCTGGTGTGCATAAATGATGAAACAGGGTTAAATTCGCATTTGGTGAGCATTCACAAACGAGGGTTTTCAGTTTGTGTGAGCAAACATACCTCACATTGGTACTTTCAAATGAAATTAAAAAGAGCTATCCGACGTGGATACAATATACTGAATATATGTCACAGCTCTACAGTTAAATATAAATTAAATAGTTACAAAAAAATAACAATTCTCAAATAACACCTGTTGGAAGTCTTGCTCAACTTTAACCTTGGAGTCGGAAAAGTATACGAGTGGCAAGGTGTTTTCATTGACTAAAAGAAGTGCACGCATTCCTTCATAAGTGTACCGTAGATTGTAACAGATTAGGGGTTATGCTATCCATGTCGCATCCCATGCTAGGTCATCATCTATGATATTATAAACTATTCTTACTTTCCAGATAATTCTCGCCTCTGCTTAGAATATGCAGCACCTCTTATCACCTACAACTCAAACTCCAATGATCACAACCTTTTTCTTTTTAATATTTGTTTCATGTGTGTCCGATTTTCATTTGTCATGAAACCAACGCTTGCTGTTGCCCGATCAGGTTTTTTCCCTCTACGTGGTTAAAAGTTACTCAACCGTAATTTCCATCAACATTTTAATTTGAGTATTAATGACTATCATAACAATCATGGTTTCTTTAGAATATGCTTGTGGATATAAAGCACAATATTGATGTATTGACTCGCATGTGTCTCCAGGTGGACGGCAGGCACATGTGTGTCTAGGTACAACGCGGTCCCTGTCTATTTTCCAGGGCTACTGGCGTCCGAGGCCTGCGAGACTCTTAGGTGTATTCACGACGACAGGGAGGGGTTAGTATTGCATCTTTTTCCCTCTTCGCGCGCACGTAGCCACGTACGATTAGAGGTTTATCGGAAACGCCGTGGCGTCCAACTCGAGTAATTACTTAATAGGCGTAGCTTAGATCAAGATATTCCACGTCAGCTTTGTGAAAGGTGCAGAGAATCATGCGCACGTCATGAAGCTTCGATTTCCTTGGAGAACCTAGCCTATCTGTTTTATTTCCTCGATTAGCAAAAAGGATATCTCCTACAATGGATGCTGATACTTCCTCAATCAGCCTGAGAAAGAGTGGGGAGATGTTTCCAGAAGTATTTGTCCTCGACCTCTGTAACTTATCCACTTAGGGCCCAAGGCTGTAGTGTCATGGAGACTACAAGTGAGCCTGCAAGAGCATGGATCCAGGTAATATGTAGAGCACAAGCGACAGATGTGGTATGAGTAGCTCAATTTCGATAGAACGTTATTCATGGACGAGGCAGAAAATGGCGGCAAGGTGCAATTCCGTTACCTGCAAATACTTTTCCACACTGAAGGTAGTTTGCACAAAATCGTCACATCGTTGAAAGTCGGTTGAATGGTTCGGTGTTGGAGATCTCAAGCTTTGTTGAGATCCCCGAGACCTTAGAGGCATGTGATTGGTCCGTTGCGACTTGACATATTTACTTCACGGCCGCATACAAATCTGCACAAATATGATTCACCCGCGTAGTCTGGGCTATCATTGCTCTAACCATATGCTTGCTAGGGCCCCTGTCTACACCCCGCCAAGTCGGTCGCCTCAACTCATTAGGTCGCGTATGTCCCAGGTTGTGGCGCCAAGTATCCAACTTGTTACCATCATTTTCTCGATCTCATCGCAATCGACCTTTTCTCCATATATCACATCAGACACAAATCTTTGTTCCGCACACTCAATCATTTATTTGTTCATACAGTAAGATGAGCCATTCCTCTGGAACATAATAATGCGGCTTTCTAATAAATGTAAAGATTTGGCCTGTCCGATGCCCGGAATCTACTCCAGCACGCCCAGCACCGAAAACATCTCCACCCTCGCGTGCTCCACGATCCTTTTCGTCATTACCTTCCTCGGCGTCGGCTCCCTCTTATTTCACAAGCTCTTTCCTTTAGTATCCCAACACACGGAAAAATCCTTCCATCTTCCCCGCGACGCGCCGCTCAGCCTACGACAAAAGCAAGCCGAGCATGACGCGAGATTAGGTCGACGGCGTATCGTCGCCCTCTCATTTTCGGCCACCATATCTCTCGCTACAGTGCTAGCTGAATTAATATTATGTGAAATTTCGAACATCCTAGATTCTCGGGCTAGAGCTCTTGCACTCAAGGTCGTCCTTCCAGCCCTTCTAATTCTTCTTGTTGTCATAATACCATTCCTGGAATTACAATCAGCAGTTTCCGCAACCGGCTGGTCTTTCCGGAGAACGGCTAACGGAAAGCTACGCACTGTTCCTTGGCTTCTACAGGCTCTCGGCTTCCTACTATGGCTGATAGGCTTCTGGCTGATTGGCAAAGGAATTCCTGGCACGTACCTATATACAACGACTCCACGTATCCCAAAAGGCTTGACTGTGGCCTGCATAGAGCGTGTTGGGGTAATTGGGATATCGCTGATGGCGCTACTATCTGGATTTGCGGCTGTATCTGCGGCATGGCACACGTTCGGCACCAAATCGAGGATCGTCAGCCAAGTAGACTTATCACGGAAACAAGTAGGCCTAGATGCCACTAATGAGCTACTAGCTGTCAAACGTAGCCGATTACGAGCGCTACAGCGAAAGATAAATAATGCACCCAAAGAAGATTTTATCAAAAAAGTAATGGGTAGCCTTCGTGGCTCTGCAGATGGACATGAAATTAAGAGTCTCGAGTTGGAAATATCAGGCCTCGAATATATGGCTTCAAGCCTCTCAGCTTCCCTTAATCTTCTACAAAATCGTCTTGACTATCAGCGACGAGCATCTTCCCCGTTTGGAAAGGTTTTCTTAACACCAATCTCCTATGGCTTTTCGATTTATGGTGTCTATCGCATCGCAACTGTCATATTGTCCAATAGTCGACGAATTGTTTTCCCGTCGCCTGATCCAACTACTTTTGCAAACTCTCATACGGATCCGGTCAATCGCATACTTTCACTCATGTCTAAGCACGTAGACCCCACCATAAATCAGTTATCCTGGTCTCGCCAAATCTCGTTTCTATTAACTGGCGTGACTCTACTTGCCACTTTCAACTCCGTTCTCACCACCTTTCACATGCTCACTAAATTATCGCCTTCTCTTCTTCTCCAGACACAGGCTAACCTCGCGCTTCTGATAGCTCAGATTAGTGCAACCTATGTAATAAGTAGCGCATTACTTTTGCGTAGCAACTTGCCCAATGAGATTAAAAGCGTTGTGAGTGAGGCTTTGGGAAGTCCTTTGGAACCGGAGTTTGTGGAGAAATGGTTTGATGCTTGGTTCCTTTTGGCGTGCATTGGCACCGCTGCCAGTATCTGGCTTGGACGAAAGTTATCTAGTGCCAGCGAATGGCAGGATATTGGGTTTGACGGAGATGTCGAGTTGGCGCAGAAACGATCATGAAATGGTATGAAAATAATTGCCCTGGATTTCCTACCAGGGCCTGTGGGCAATGGGCCGTAGCTTAATCGTATTGGGTGGGGCGCCTGGGTAACAGGGTTGCTAGGTTGCAACAAGATGATCCTGCCTTAGTTAGGCACAGCGGAGTTTGGCGGCAAGGTGGGCGGCAAGGGGAAACCACAGCATCCTTAGGGTCATATGAAACGATGCACAGGCCTTTGAAATTTAGTCTAGCCGATAGAACTCTAGGAGTAAATGATTTAATTATGTACATTGCTTGAAGTAGGAAATTATAATTACATTCGCTCAGTTTGTCGATGCCATGTAAAATCACAGTTCTGGATCTAGTATAGCCAACGCATGCTGAGGCCGGCCAGAGCCACAATATACAGGAGCTGTGGAAATGGCCTTTGAATATGCATAAACCGTAGACCTCCGAAATAGGCTAGCGCTGCTCGTCCCGCCTCTCTATCCGACTCTCACGTAGCCGGCAAAAAAAGAAGTGGCAATAGCAAGGCCCGAAGTGGTTAAATTAGGGGCATAGTGTTCGTAGCCCGCTCCGCTCCGAGCCGGTTGCACGGAGAGAAGATGCCGCGCATCGCCACATATATAGCATGGCGCTCCGAAGGGATCACCAGCCTACGGACAGTCTTGAAACTTGGCCCGCTAGTCAACTAGGCGTCGAATCCCTTTCAAGGTGGAGTAAGCTTTTTCTACTATCTCTTCATCTTCTATAACCTACGAAGCTGGCTAGTTACCGGAAAGCCATGCCAGAGAGGGCATGAGGTCGTGAGAGGCCAAAAATCTCCAATGGCATGGTCCATGCGCCTCGTCTCTATGTGTGACTAGGGCCAATGCAGTGATTACGATGGAGCGGGAAGTAAATGGTAGGATCCTAGACCACGCACTTTACGAGCTGGAGCCAAGCAGATAGATGGAGACTTGTAAATTCAAATGGATCTTATATACGGGACAGAAGTAGGCCCGACCCCCATACACTTTCCAAGCCTTCATTCCACTTGTCTTCCACGGCAATCAGCTCTCAGGAACTTTCAATCACGTCTTTGAAAGAAGTGATAGTCATCTTGCGCAGTACATAAGCGGGTGTGCAGATGTCGAGACCATCAGAAGAAGACCATCAACGCTTACTGGCCGTCCATGATCAGATACCACCAGTACCAACGGCTCGCAGCATATCGCGCCGTTTTATCGTCGGTCTGATCCCATTATACTCTTTTTTCCTCCTCGGATCGGGGGTTTGGATAGGGAGATATTTAACCTTACATCCCAATATTACATGCTTGGAGTATTCTCAAAAGTGGTGTATGTGCATCATAAGTATCCTCAGGAGTCCAGGACTAATCTATCCTAGCCCCAATTATGGAAGAGCTCGATAATTCATACCATACAGTCCAGTTCAATGGCTCCCTTTTCAAGGAAAATACTTTCCGTCTGCCCGCCGGCCCAGAGGTTGATAAGGCCTGGGATTCTCTAGGTATAAATTGTAAGATTTTTCTAGATCCAGGATATATTATTACTACTGATTAAGGTTTGTTAGATCGAGCATTGGCTCTTCCAAAAAGCCAAGCAGCAAGATCAGGTCTCTCGCCTGGACAGGTCCAGATAAACCCTGCGTACGGCGGTGGGTTTCCAACAAATGTTGAAGGCCTTCATCATCTCCATTGCCTAAATCTAGTTCGCCAATCTCTTTACTATAATATAGAATACTATCGTGCTCAGAAGAAAGGTGCCTTTGTCAATGATGAAAACGTCATTCGTCATCATATATCACATTGCCTTGACATTATCAGGCAACAGCTAATATGCACGCCAAACACCAGCCTATTAGGTCAAGTCTGGTGGGATCCGAAGGCGCCAAAAGCTTTTGTTGATTTTAACACTGAGCATGAATGTAAAAATTTTGAGGCCATTCGAAGCTGGGCCGAGAAGAAGCAGATCTCGGAACATGTCCCCAAAGATTTTTTGCTTCCTCCAAGGAGTAAAAAAGATGTGTATGAAGAAATACCATAATTCGAAAGCTTGACTTGTTTAAAGTTCATAGCTCCTTTTCCTCTTGCCGTGAAAATTCATCAAGTTTACCAAATCGCCTACAAAACTTGACTTTAGTTGGATTAAAAGTTGAATTTCAAAATAATAATCATTGTCCAGCCCTAGCTAATATCATTCATACCAGCTAATCGGCTATTTAAAAATTGACGAAGTAAATAAATGAATCTGGGATGAGTATTTACTTTTCTTAACATATACACGGCCTTGGTCGTATGAGTAGTTTCAACCCCAAATTATATCTAATTTCTTGAGACTCCTAAATTAGCTTATTGCTGCTGGTATTTCTATCTTTTTTTAGGTCCTTAAGATTTTTGCAAGAGAATTCGACTGGATAGATTTAGAAGCAATATTCACGTTGCACATCGTGTGATTTCGGCTTGTTTAAAATCTTTGGTATTCTTGCACAGATAAAGGCCTATCATAGTTGTAAAATCTCATCATAACGACTGATATGGGGAGATTTTGGTTAAATAGTTTAGAATGGAGGGTTGAAGTAGAAAAAATTATCTACTTATCCCATACTTCAAAGTCGCTCCATAGATAGAGGTAACGTTTCCACTGACTACCAGTAGATAACACCTATATGAACGAGGCTCAAAAGTTTTGATAGCCAACCCATTCGAAGGCGGGGTAGGAATAAAATGAGTGAGTAATTATCAAACAGATTTTAATGGAATTTAGTATCCATTAAATATGGGCAAACTTGCTTTTAAAATAATTCTCATCCCACATAACTCGTCGTATCTTATGATGCCATACCGAAATTAGCAAATAAAATTGCCAATTGCAGCTACCTGTATAATGATAGAGAGTGACATTTTTTTCACTGGGAATCGTTCCAATTTTTCAGTTTTAATAGAGGCCGACATCTTTGGTAGTATTGTTTGGTGAGGTTGAGTGACTCACGTAAGAGAAAAGCAGTTATTGTTCGGTTCAGAGCTAATTTAGAATATTTTTAAGGACCAGTAACACAGTGATATATAGTTTGTGTTCACTTGGTTCGTTGACGTACATAGTTTTAGTGCAGGGTTCGCATGCCGATAAGGTTGGCTACTATTTAGACTGAAGATCCAGAAAAATTTGCTCCAGGAAGAGTGACCTAAGCTTAATTGTTGTCTAGCGTAAAATTGCACTTCCTAGCAAAGCTAAGCCATATAAGGGTTGAAGACGTCTGACCTGCAGTAGATTATTAGACATCGATTTTACTGGGCGAATTCGTAGGATTGTTGTCGCAAGAAAATTCATATCTATTATCCGCCTAATAATCCATTACTTTTGCCTTCTGTCGCTTTTCTTTTGAGCATTGTGCGATGTCTGCGGCTTTTAAGATGTAACTGCCATTCAATCTCATTCATAGCTTTGACCTGACAAATTTCACACTTCTCGCGGAACCAGACGTCAGGTTTTTCCTTGACACCGCCCAACACATCCCTAGCAATAGCTGAGGAGTCTAATGGTGACGGAAGATCTTCATTAGCCAGCATTTTGGATGTAATACTAATTGCAAGTTCTGAAACATTCTGCTGGAAGCGGGAGGCGTCATTGCTATCAAGAAGATAGAGCCTATCTCTCAATAACTTACACTTTGTTAATGCGGGTCGTAGTTTGAGCTGGATCCAGCGTACTTGTCTTTTAGCGTATCTTCGTGTGGCAGCTTGAGTCTGTTGGATACAAAGTTCTAATATCTTTTCCATGTCCTCGCCTTTATCGAGAGCGCGAAGGTAGGGATCAAACTCTTTCCAACCGATCGAAGCCCAAATACCTCGCGTTTTATCTATTCGTACCCCGATTTGTTGTTGTTGCTGCCAGTATTGATGCATGCATCTTATTTCTTCAAGTAGACCAGCTTTCATCATATTCTTCACGCGAGCATCAAGTCGTTGGTCCAGAATTTTTGAATCGGTATGAAGCCAGAATATTAATGTAGATGTAGCATCGAGGTGCTCACTAAGACGGTTCGAATCACTTTCCTTTTCGAGCAAGATTTTCGTTACGTTTTTTTGCTTAGCATAAGCATCCGAAGCTTTCTCTCCAGTAGTTAAAAAAATCTCCAAGGACCTACGAATCTTTCTAATATCATTTGGATGCCATCGTTCAGCCATGACCGGATCAACCTCCTTTAATTTCTTCAGTATGATGTCACTCGGTCCGTCGAGGATTGGGAATTCTTTGGATATTTCAAGATCGGAGGATGGATTTTCGGCTGTTCCATGTGCTCCTCTCGCACTGAGGATTGAATCTTCGAACAAAAGACTTTGAGCGTAGTAGTGTGTGCCACCCACCACAATGGGGATTTTATCTCTACTCCGGATCTGGTATAGTAGTTTTCTAGCTTCGCTTTGAAACGCATCTACTCTCCATGTTTCTTCTTCAAGTTTTACGTGGCCGAGCAAATGATGTGGAATTTCTTCTTGCTCATCTTTACTGACTTTGTTGGTGATAATTGGAAGTCCGACGTACATCTGCATGGCATCGGCATTGATGATCTCACCATTGAATTTTTTGGCTAGGTCTATTGCTAACTATACAATCTTGTTAATGAATGCTTATCTGAAGGGCAATGAGTTTTACTTGGGACTTTCCGGTGCCTGTCGCACCGATGATGACGATAAGAGGCCGCATAGGAGACTTCTGAGCCATCGATATTTTGAATAGCCGTTTGAACATTTACAAGCTTGGATTGCGTAATCGAATGAAGGGAACTAGCGTGAAAGACAGATTTTCGATAAACGAGTGCTCTAGTATACTAACATGAGTATCCGTGTAGTCTTTATTCCAACATGATAGCTAATTCCAAGTCAAGAAAAGTGACCTAGCTGTATTTATAGAACATAGATAGACAGACACACACAGATATTCGCATCTAAATTAGAATCTAAAATTATAGATCCATACTTTAGAACTAAACTCCACATAAGATTTACTGGAGCTAGGAGCTGCGATGTGATATGTAAGGTTGTGTCATAGCTAGATAGTTGCATACGCATTTCAAATCTGATGCAAAATAAATACGTGTAGAGTCGGAGGCCAAAGATTGAACAGCTGTACACGGTGTCCTCTACAAACTTGGGAGTGAAATATTCTCCCAGAGCCAAGTTCAGTAAAATTTCGCAACATCAAAGAAGTTGGCCCACGAGGCAATCATTCAAAATACACCACCACGTCGATTTTTCACTCCCAACGAAATCGACTCCTACCTAAGCACTATCAAGTCTACAAGTACGACCTAGTACACCCTCATCCCAATGACCACACCTCTCGTCGACTTTCTCTGGCCTCAGTTGACCACCAAATACGCGCCCACGCTGATATTTATACCCGCAATAGTAAGCAGAACGTGGCGCACAAGCCTGGGAAATAGTTCTTGGGCACGGGCGTGAGAGGGATTAGGACAAGTTCACAAGATGATGTAGAGGATTAGATACAGTCTCGATGGGCGTGAAATTTCGAATTTTGGCAAATAGTTTTTACAAATTGAGCTTTGTGTGTACCAAGGCTTCGGTTGCGAGAGTGTAGGCGATACTATAAACACCGCCATAGTCGTATGGTGCGGTAGTACATCGTCTTGGCTGGTCTGCCAAATAGATTCTTGATAACTTGGACACATATTCCACTCAAGACAGGAGAACGCTGGTTCGAATCCGGCAAAACACAACCACTTTTCTCGCGGCGCCTGCTAACAAGAACGACGAAAGCATGCTTGGATAATCAAAGGTTTTGAAACGTCCCTTAGGTGGGTACTCACAGAGGAGGGTTGACTGCTCGTGTAAGCAAGCATACCTCATAGTGGTATTTGCGAATGAAATCCAGAGTATGAGTGTCTCTAACGTCAAAAGAGTCATACATTATGTATACATAGCACCGGTCATGTGTCATGGCTAGATAACTATATACACATTAAATGATCTAAAAAAAATGATCAACATCTATGCGTGAAGGTCTACTCTTCTGACCAACCAGATTGATCTGGACACTATGTATTTACTTTTCATTCAGCTTTAGACTATCTAGTACTTCAGGCTCTCCCCTGAACCAAGCCTCACCTTGAACGGTGTTCCTATTCTCTTTTGTTACTTGAATGATCATTAAAACATTGCCCCTTATGGATAGTTGTTTGGCTCAGTGTTTACCCGTAGAATTTAGCCTCTTTACCGTGCAACTTTCTACCTACAAGAATAAAAATGGTAGCAATGGAAATTGCGTAGGCAGGAAAAGGTCTAAATAAGCCTGCAGCACCAGCCAGGCGAGGTACGCATCTTCATCTGTATCTCCCTTTGTATAATTGGAGTCCATCTTGATTCAATACACCATTACCGTATCAGGTGCTGGGTACGCTCCGGAAACTCATTGGATAATTTCTCCTTCATTAACAAGAATAGTAAGCGAATAATGAGGAGAGCATTAGATTTGGTTGTAATTTATGCAGAATGATGGTGATATCACCTGTGTGGGCTCTTTTTTTAAATTCATTAAGTGTATGCATTCTATTTATCCATGACACTAAATGTTGTTTGTCATTACACAGGTTACTCTTCGACAACTTAGTAGTTTTAGTATTTCGCGTGGAAGTAACATGGTGATGAGGTCTTCGCTCAATTTAAGGGTACAAGGCTGAATACTCAGCCTCGTGTAAGTTTATCATAGATGTATCACTATTGTAGTTTAAACAAGAACATCCTTATCCCAACGTACATTGTTATCTGATCAGATACCGAGGCACAGCCTATCCAACACTAAATGTGTGTAGGTTCGAGGAAATACGATCAGGTATTGACGCAATGTAAGGACAAATATGATACAAATATATATTGGTATATGAATATATATATGGTATAGTCTTAATGACAAATGTGCGTGTGAACTGTCTAACCTAAAACCACGGATTGGAGGAGAATAAAGTATTCTACGACATGACGGCCTAACTAGTATCTTAATGCTCCACTTCTTACTCTATGGAGCCCAACGTTATCATTTTCACACCCGACAAGTCATTATGAGCCTAGTTTGATTCCATATCAGAAGACATTGACCCATGTTAGGTAGTCTTTATATGCTGAGCTAACCGATACTTGGCCGTCAAAGTTTAGTGTTATGCGCCAGCACGAAGTGTAGTGTGTTAAAAAAGGTTGTGGCAGAGAAGATAAGAATTTTGTTAAAGCGCCTTTTTGGCTTTAGAATATCAAGGACATCGAGTATTCTTATCTTAAACGCTGAATGCACTTCATTGAAATAAATTCCAAATGTCGCTTATTATGCCACGGGCGGAGATGATTTTGATTAGAGAAAGAATGGGATAGACAAAAGAGGCTGAATGAATATTTCGAGAACCTGCTTAAAAATAATTTATTGAGTTACAGAGAGAAACACATAACCTTATCATAGCAATCATATTGAAAAACTTCACAAATTACCTGAACTTTCCTTGCCACACATGTAGATCATAGGGTTGGATGGTGCAGCAGTACACCATTCGGGACGTTCTCCCAAGTAATTACTGGTTAGCTTTAACACTTACCACATTTGAGACAGGAGAAAGCTGGTTCGAATCTAGTAAAATCCACACGCCACACTCTCTCGCGGCGATATTGTACTTTTGGGATGAAGAAAGCACACTCAGATAGCCACAGGGTTTTCACGACTTTTCCTGTGGTGGCTATGCACGGAAGAGGCCATGCGCCGTAAGGGTTAACCTCGAGTGGTGTCTGCAAATGAAATCTGAGTGTGAGTGTTCTAAACGTCAAAATGAGTCATTCTACCTAAAGTATATATCTTTTGATTAAACCTTAATGGGCCCCTCGGCACCAAATCAGGACAGTTGAATAATTTACTTACTTTATACGGATCATGACTTGAGGTATATTAATATTTTTAATATTGTAGCTGTAACATAGGTCTTCGTGGCTCAGTTGGTTAGAGCGTTGGTCTCATATCACAGATTGATCTGATAGCACGGCAACGCGTTAAGATATCCAAAGGTCGCGAGTTCGAGTCTCGCCGAGGACATATGTTTTTGCCACGCTAGACTTAACTTCGCCTGAGGCAGTTGCCGTCTGACTGTTATTACAGCACCAAATTCACGTTAACCCCTTTCAATGAGTCATCAACTTTGTTTAACTTGATTACGACCTAATTATCTGGAGTTGTCAGATTATCTAGGTGACTCTTTATTTGCCATCTCAGACAGTAGCTAGACCAGCACTGGTACAAATAATGCATGAGATCACTATTTAGTGGAGCTATCTTTGCGTTTGATAGCTGGCTACTCACAACATCTTTCTTTGGAAGAGGATAAATCCAAGTCTAATTGGCGTAGTATCATGGAATAAAACTCTATAGAGCTTTATATAGTCATGGCTCAAGAGGAAACTCTCGTAGGCAACTGACACGTTGGTGGTGTAAGTTGACACGGGGGATCTAGGACTACGATTTGAAATCGAAGTCTTTTACGTGACAGGAAGAACCTAACATCTGTTAGGACGTGACACGCGTAGGTGGGCTCTGAGAGCTCATTGCTACCTATATGACCGGCAATACAGCCGGAAGCAACAAAACAATAGAAAAAAATTACAGTAAATGTCTAAGTTACGGTGCCCTACGCTGTATCCCTTTCTTCCAGCATATCCTCTCTCGAATTGGAAACATTCTCAGCATGATCATCTCTCACCCTGTTCATTCTTCGGCAGACTGTAACATCTGCTTGTAGTTAGGAATTGGAAAAACTTCTGCCATCCCTTCTCCCCTGTCACTTCCCTGGCCCCAGATGACGCCATTTTCCCTCAGCTTCTCCAACGTTGCAAAGCAGGTCGGCACTCTGAAAAATGCCAGGGCCTTTTCTTTCGGCCGCAAACGCACTTCAGATTTTCATGTTCGGGGTTGAAACGTCGATGGTAGTCGGCATAGTCCCCGTGACCAGTCCTTGCCGCCATAAGACAGAGGTACGCCCATCTTGGTAGAGCCAGTTCCGGTGGCCGTTTGCAGCGCATGCAGAGGTCCAGATCCATGTATCGTTTCGGCCGATACTTCCGCCAACACTCTTCCACGAGCTTATGGCCGCACTGTTTAACCCACCTCCCTAACGTCGCAAAGGTTAGATCTTGATCTTTTCCACTGGGCGTAGCTGAGGTTAGTGACCGGTTATTGGGAGCTCCCAAGACTGATTTGGCCAGCTTATCGGCCTCTTCATTGCCTTGAATCTCCACATGCCCCGGTATCCACCGTATTTCCACACGCTTATTATGTCTCAGCGACGAAAACTTGTCCACCACTGACTGCGAGGAGTTAGATCTTCCTCTTTCGAGCGCCTGGGTGGCCGCTTGGTTGTCCAGAAGAATGCAGATCAGTGAGTCTTTTCCTACCTCTATTGCAGCCTTCAAGGCTTTCATGGAACCTACAACTTCTGCGTTGAATACCTCTGCTCCGGGAAGTGGACCGGAGCCACTTGCAACTAGCTTGCCTGCTTGGTATACTACATACCCCCAGGCTGACTTTCCAGGACCCGATGATGATCCATCAGAGAAAGCGAAGACTGTGTTAGCTGCAAGGGAAGCTAACCATCGCTTTATGCTTCCACACCTAGCTTCATTTTCTCGACTACATGGAGTCGATGCCGGGGGACCATGGGCAAAGCATAGCTTTCCAGGACCTTCGGCTGTCGGAACTTGAGGCAC